GAACGTTTCTGACATCATATTCATGTTTGCCAGAGTGAGTTCTATCTGACCATGTCTTCAGAATATGAAAACGTAGGGTGGCAGATATCGCTACTTATCCGGCGGTGTCCTTAGCTACAAAAAGAGGCGTTTGCTATCTTACCGTGGGGAATGATCACAAACAGACATGAGCGGTAACGGTAAAGGATTGTTTTACCGCGGTAAAATTTTTAAGTTTTTACCGTAAGCCGGTAACGGTAATAAAATTATTTTTACCGATTCTTTGTTGGAAAATTGATTTTACCGAATTTTTGACTTTTTCGGTAAATTACCGTCGGTAACGGTAAAAAAGTTTTTTACCCAAGTTTACCGGGGTAAAAGTTTGAGATTTTTTACCGGTTTCAAATTACCGCGGTAAAAATTTGAAGTTGTTACCGAAGCGTCGGTAACGGTAACACGTTTTTACCATTATCGTACATGTCTAATCACAAAGTTACATAAAAATCGGTTTTATTATCCATGTTTGGTAGTATTATTGAAGAAGAAAGGTTGCTCAACCATGAAATACAAAGAGAAACTGTAACTTTTGTGAAAATATGTCACTTTTAAAATGCCGTACAATGAAGACTTTGATCGCTTCAAAAACCTATTTAATACTGCTGAAATGGACTTCAAAATACCTAATCGATGAAGTTTTTCAAGCTCTTTCTTTTGATTTATTTTGCAGATAAAGTTTAGTTTTGATTTAGAAGGAAAATTCCAGTATTTCGAACTTCTCTAGTTCAGATGTTGAAGTTTGATTTTTCAGCTTAAAAAATGAATATTTTTGAAACATTCATTCCCATAGACTTTTCTATCTTTTAGATGCGCTATTCTTTACTTGAATAGTATTTCACACAATATAAAACATGATCAAATGTTGAGTTTTCTTGTTACAAATCTCGATAAGTTTATAGAACATTTATTAAAAACATAAAAAAAAATTTTGAATGAGAAATGTTTTTAACACCTGAGATAGTTGAGGCATGGACCTATCTAATCATGGTATCCAAAATTTTCTATCATTTTCCACTCATTACAAAAAACACGAAAAGCAGCATTATTTTTTACGAAATCAGGAGCATCAGAGCAGACTACACAGTTGCATATCAGAAGAGTCCTTTGATCTATATCTTCATTGGGATCCAAAGTAGTAAAAACGATTATCGCCCAGAGCTCGTTATTATTACCCAAAATGGATTACACCATTGGAAAGGGTTCAAAGAACCTCATTGCACTTAATCTTCCTGCGAGAAGAGTTTGTGAAAATGAGAACTATGTGGATTTTCTTAATAGATCTCTTATTTTGCTGATAGTGTTAGAGCTTTTTTTATAAAGGATAGTTACAGTTGTGTTGATCGACGAGCTTAGATTGGACGAAAAACTGCAACAGCAATTCATGATCGATTTTTGAAAGTTATATCCAAACTAGGGGATGGGGGCAATTTATAGATGTTTCATTTCTATTTTTTGCCTTTATATTATCGGAACAATTGGCGTTAGTTTGCTTGTTTCTTATGTTTGTGATTCACTGGGAGGACAATGAGAATAAAAGAACAATTATGAGAAAAAATTATATTAGAAAAGAAGAATAAGAGACAAGATAACCAAACGAACAAATATGAAAAATTAGAGATTTTTAGAAAATTTCTGTTGTACATATATAGTCATCTATTTGAAAGACAACGAAAATACAAAGACTAAATGTGTGAGTGTGTGTGAATATGTAGTTGTATATCTCTGGAAAATGGAATCGATTTGCCTTCGTGTGTATATGTGTGTGTTTATGTGCGTATTCTCTATTCAACCAATAATAATAATAATAATAAAACAAACAATAAAGGACAAAATACCATTTGTGTTCTACTGACAAAATGATGTTGTTTATTTATAGCTAGTAAGATACGATCAATAATCATGTTTTTATTGTTGTTTTAAAATTATTATCAAAGTGCTTGAGTACACATATAAATGCTTTTTTCCATAAATAAATGACATGTGTAAAACGACTATTGAAACGATTTTATATCACATTACAGATGACGTATTTTTTTTTCATTTGATTATTGACAATGACGACGACTGTCATTTGTAGTTAAAAGGATGGTAAAGCAAAAACAAAAAAGTATTAGTAAAACAAGGATTTATTAATTGTTTTTTTTTCAGTTCATTTTATCATTAAAAGGCAATACTAAAATTTGGAATAAAAGAAAAATAATTAAATCAAAATACGACAGATTTTTTATCAACAAAATCGAGGAACGAAAAGTGAATATTATCGCAACTCTCGATGGAAGTTTCATCGTATGAGAATACAAGCGTTTATTCTTCTATTGGAAGTTTAGTGTAGAAAATGAGTCAATTTTCTTACACATCTAAACATATTTGCCTATATACGAGATTCGAACGCTCATCTGAATCCGACAGAAACACTACACTAAATATCATACTTCGTTTAATTTCCTTTCTATCATAACCATCAAAAAAGCTATTATGAAGAAAAAAGAACAATGGTTGAACAATATATAGACAAAAAGCTTGACAGTTCGAATTTACAGTATTTTCTAAAAACTTTAGTTTTATCTTCTCATATTGGAGTAAGAATGAATATTTATGATTGAATACGCTAAAATATCCTCTTGAAAATTGCATAAGTCCAATTTCTATTTCTCATATGATTTTTCAAAGAGAAGAAATATTTACTTGAGATATCATACCGATCGTTCGTTTGACGGTCACTTACCTTCATTCATGCATCAATAAAGATAAACCATGCATTAAACACGTTAAATATTCTTAAAAGATTTGTTTTCAAACCAGATTAATTTGAAAACATGCCTTTTTAAATTGTGCTTCATATTTTGTCTATTGTATTTTTATCAGTAGTAACAAAGAAAAACTGAGAAAAAGAGAGGAATAAAACATTAACAACAACAAACAACAACAAGAAAAGAAAGATTTTTGTAATAATAATAATAATAATAATAACTTAAAAAATAAGTTAACTGTTAGAAGAAAAAAACGCACATAACACTTTGTTTTTCTCTGAAATTTCATGATGTTTTTGCATAGTAAGTAGTAAAAAAAAACATTTGAATATTATTTTCGAACACAAAATAAAAAGAAAAAACTATAGTGGAATTGTAGGCACATGCTTTATGAAATAGCAACACATTCGATTGAATGAGTTTATGAACCGAAAATGAGAATAAAAGACTAAAAAAATATCGAGAGGAATAAAAGAATAAAAACTCGACTATTGCGTTTCGTATACACAAACAAATAACAGATGGTTCAATTGTTACGTGTTTTCTGATATGTTTTAGCAGTGCGTAAATAGAGAAAGTAGAGAGAAGGAGAGAGAGAGCAAATTACATGCACGACACTATAGAAAAAGAGAAATATATCTAGCATTAGGTGAGAATAGATTAGATCTTCGGGACGATCAAACAAAGCCCAGAGGCTAACGAATGAGTGCTAATCTTACCAAGAGATATCAAGTTATTAATCGCTTGACTATCACTACAGAATTGGATCTTTTGGTTTTTTGTCACTACACAAGGTTCAAATACTCGATTAAAACTAAAAAAATATGCTAGCTTTATCTATAGTTCAGTATTTGAATGTGGCATTGTCAAATTTTGTGTATCAGAAATTATATTTGAATGGTGAGTAAAGCCATACCATGTCGAAAAAATGGGTGAATAGGCTAATAGTACAAAATACAATCCCCACATAACAATTAATGTAGTTGCACCCGATAATATCTTAGAATTATTACCATCAACATAACGTCGTGAAAGAAATTTCAATGTTTCATCTATGAAAACAACTGGTATTGATATTTTAATAACAGCAAACCATTCTTCAGATGTTAATGGACAAATTTGGAATACAGTCTAAATAAAAGAAATACATAACAGGGTTATTTATGAGCACAAATTTCTCTCACGTTCACACATAAACGGTCATCTCCTTTTCTACTTTTCTCAAAAGACTGTCATTTTATTTACTCTTCCATATGACTCCAACTTACGATCACTTTGATATATTGCACACGTTCTACGATACATTTACATAAAACTTTTCATTATTTTAATCGAATATTGCATATCACATTACAAAACGTAGTTAGGATTCCTGAAAATCTGCACTAACGGAGCGGCTCCTAGTTGACCGTACAGATCTCCTAGCCATCTCTGATCATAGTAAGAATGCTTCCAAATATTGCTTGAGAAATATTTTTATACTCAGATAATTTACAAGAGTAAGCGTCCATGGAGCACACATTAACAGCCCTGACAAGTAGTTTTTAACATCCTATGAACATTACTTACATTGAAGAATGGTAAATATAAGATCATAGCATGCAATGACATTGATAATGCAATAGCAAGTAATAAATATTTATTATACCATGGCGGCATTTTAACTAATGATTGATTTTCTGATAAACTAAATTTAGAATGCAATTCATCATCAAATAGTTTTTCTTTATAGTAGTTGTAAAACTCTCAATATACCTGTTCACTGCGTTTAACATTTCAATTGTAACCAAAACTGAAAGTGCCATAGTCATTGGATGTGGATCATCAAATACATCGCAATCAATATCTTCCCAGGTTTTTCCACCACCACGGCATTGAAAATGATGAGACTAAAATATGACGAACATTTTATTGATTCACCACTCAGAAAAAGCAAAACACACAGGAAGAAAATATATTCATGTGTACATAGAATAACTACTGTCCATTTCAAAATAGAATGCACTCATGAGGGAAGATTCCCAAGTGTCCAATTACTTTTGGAGCGAAAACTAGTGGATACTGGGTTATCGACCATGCTGATTCCGAATATGACCGTGAGAGCTACTCTTAGACCTTGGAAGACCGGTTTTCCAAGCTAAAATTAGTCAGATAGCATCTAAAAATTGGTTGTTTTGCTGATCTTCGCTTATTGACCTTGGTTTAATTCCAACAAGAGAGAAAACTGTGCCAAGCGATTAAGTGTGACCGAAAATTTATGAATCCATGATTTTAGCTCATGTGTTGGGGCGATAACCGTGGTTCCGGAATCAAAACTGGCTTTCCGGGATCTTAGTAAGTCAAAGCTAGCACCTGCA